AACGGGACCCGTGGCCTTCTGATTGTGCATCAATGTGGGCTGCGGCAAGGAGACTCCTTGTCGCCGCTGTTGTTTATCATTGCGATGGAGCCGCTTCAGCGTCTGCTCTCCTTGGCCACGGAGAGAGGCATTTTGTCGCCGCTCAAGCTATGGATGGCGAGGTTCCGGTCCAGTTTTTATGCGGATGATGCAGCGCTTTTTCTCAACCCCGAGCTGAACGACTTTGTTGCGGTTCAGGCCATCCTAAAGCTCTTCGCGGACGCCTCGGGCTTAAAAACGAATATCCAAAAGTCGGTGGCCTACCCTATCTCCTGCACGGGCCTTGATTTGCTGCCCTTAATGGCTATATTTGGTGGACAGCAAGGTGCCCTTCCATGTCAGTACTTGGGCCTGCCTTTGGGTGTGTGTAAGCCAAAGAGGACTGAGATGCAGCCTCTCATTGATAAGATCGCCGGAAAGCTGGCCACAAGGAAGGGACGGCTGCTCAATAGAATGGGGAGGTTGCTCTACACCAATTCGGTGGTGACTGCTACTGCCACATTCTTTTTGACATCATTTCAACCGGATAAGTGGCTGATTAAAAAGGTGGACAAGCTTAAAAAGAACTTCCTTTAGGAGGTAGATGACACGTCGATTGGTGGGAAAAGTCTGGTAAACTGGAAGCAAGTTTGCTCTCCAAAGAGATATGGAGGTTTGGGCATAAAAATATCAAGTGCTTTAGCCGAGCACTGAGACTTCGTTGGGAATGGTACAGATGGGAGGACAGAGATAGACCGTGGAAAGGGACAGATACGCCATGCGATAGTGTTGATAAGCAGCTCTTCTCCAGCTGCACTAAGGTCTCTTTGGGCGATGGAGCTTTGGCTAGCTTCTGGAGGGACAAGTGGTTGAATGGTGAAGCTCCGTTGGACTTGGCACCGGCGGTGTTCAAGCTGGCCCGCTTCAAAAAAGTCTCGGTCAGAGAAGGCATGGATAATGCTAAATGGATGCAAGGGCTTAACCGGATAAACAATGCTGAGGAGCTGCGCCAGTTTGTTCAGCTTTGGACCAGGGTTCAAGGGACACCATTGTCGACGGAGAAGTACGCCATCGTTTGGAACCTCACTGCCAATGGTGTATATTCGGCCTGCTCGGCCTACGAGGCCCAATTTTTCTCTAGGATTGAGAGGCCACGGTTGGCCAGAGTGTGGACGAGCAAGATGGAGGGGAAAGTGAGGTTCTTCTTATGGCTCTTGCTCCAGAACAGAAACTGGACTGCTGACCGATTGCAAGCAAGAGGCTGGACACATAATGATCTCTGCAAGCTCTGCGGTCAGGAACCTGAAACTGCGAACCATATTGCTCTGCTCTGCCCTTTTGCCAAGGAGATTTGGTTCCAGTTCCGATGTGCTCACGATGCCATGTGTGTTGTGGCCGATGAGGCGCAGACCGTGGGCGAGTGGTGGGAAAGGTTGTGCTCTGCCAGAGGGTCGAGGGAGCAATGCAGGGAGGACATGACCGTGGCTGCCTACATAGTGTGGAACCTCTGGAAGGAGAGGAATCGGCGAGTCTTCGAGCATAAGCAACTGACAGTTCTTGCGCTGACTGGGCTCATCAAGGATGACATCAAGTGTTTTGGGGAGGCAACTAGAGGGGTTCGCACTGTTGGGTTGTAATCCTTTCTGCTCTCTTATATCTATTCTGTAATGGGGGTGCGACCTTTATGCGTTGGTCGATCCGTTCTTGTATGACTCCTTCTCTATAATGCAAAGGCAGAGCTCCTGCTATTCTCGTCAAAAAAGATCGCTTTCAGAGCTAGAGATTTCATAAGGATAGACCTTAGAAACCAGAATGATTGAATGTCACAAAGGCATTATTATTTTGATGTATACGCATCCAACGCCAACATTCACTCTTTTAGAACTTTTGTATTTGCTTTGGCTAATACATATGCCATTTTATAGACACCGGAGCCATCCTTTCCTCTATATGGACATGGTTGGTATCCATCTTAACTATGGTCGAGTATTGATAGATCAATAATTAAGTTCACATGCATGCAGTATATGCACTAAAATTTAGACCTGCATCTTCACCGATAAATCCGCTATGCTTGTCCCGTGAAACAACTGTTTGTACAGAGCTTCACAGTAAGAGCCACTAAATTTGCAAAAAGTGATTATCTACAGATGTCTAATTTTGTTGACTAAAATGAACCGAGCTTTCTTCATCGATCGGTTAAACTGCACTATTCCTTCGTCTGTCTGCTTAACGGAATGAATAATGATTAACTATGTTTGGGCCTCATGGGAAACATCATAAAGAGGATTCTACTTCTTGTATGAAGATGGCTTCCAGAAAACGAAATCCAATACACATCATCATGGTAAAATCATCTCGTAACCGATCAAGGTTACATACCACATATTTCCATATTGCCTTCCTATGTTTTCCTGCTGGATATCCTCTCAAGCACTTTTTTTAGAATATCTCTTAAATATGTCTAGTATGGAAAGTATTTACATAATTTTTAAAAAGGACTACAGCTACAGGCCCAATAACACATACGCTGGAGGCCGAATGTAGTAAAAGAATCGTCCTACCACACGCATTCCCCTAAAAAAACCACATGCATCGGCATCCAACCAATTTGCAGCTTGCCACCACCGGCGCCATGCTCCGCCTTCAAAGAGTTATTTATCCAAAATCACCACACTTGGGGATAGGGTAACAACTTGGTACCACATTTGAACCAGGGCACAAAAAACCATCACAAATGCGCCTAATTTGTAACAAGGAGCACCGATGCTGGAATTTGGTCGCGGAAACAGCAAAACTGACAAGTTGGGCCCGCATGTCGTACTGACGTGGCTTGCTTATGTGGACAGTATGCTGAGTTCGACATAGGTCCCATTTGTCAATGACTCAAGTATTTGTTCTTTTTTACTTCTTCCTCCTTTTTCCATTGGCATTTCCACAAACATTTCGTGGGCGCCCCCGCAGGCCACAGCACCGCTGCCATGGCGTCGGCCACGAGCCTCCATGCGTGCCGTCGGACTGCAGGCGTGCGCTCGTGCGAGCTGCGGCCGCGGGGGCGCTATGGCCGAGCGACTGGAGTGGGAGGCGTATGTGCGGGCGTAGGCATGCTCGTCGGCGTCCATGGAGGACACTGGAGCTTGCCAGCCATGGAGGAGCAAGCTCGAGGATGCAAAAAAAAATATATCAGAAAGCGAGCTGCAGCGGCGCCCAAGAGCAATTGCTCGTGAGCCATCCACTTGATTCCATGGACTACAGCGACTCCAGCCGGCCACGAACGACGACGGACACGGCAGTCGCCACAGCGTCTCCCGCTGCCGCGCCTCCACTCGCCGCCGTCCACGGCCGGTCCTGTACTGCTCGTCGACCTGGGCACGCGGCGGGGCTGGGCGCTTCTCGTTGGCCGGCGGGCCGGCCTGGGCACTCGCCGTCGTCCGCGGCCATCATGTACTGCTCGTCGGCCTGGGCGTGCAGCGAGGCTGGGCACTACTTGTTGGCCGGCGGGCCGGCCTGGGCACGCGGCCGCCGGCGCTCCATGGAGAGGCGGACGAGCTAGCGCTGCTCACTCTTTCCGGCGAGAGGGGAATGATTGGCGCCCATAAGCTGTTCGATGGTGCCTCAAAGAAAGAGATATGGGAAGAAGATGACCGTCTAGTCATTGACAGATGGGGCTCACATCTCATTTGCCACATCAGTTAGTCAAAGCTTTTAGTCGTCGCCATGTCAGCCCGACATGCGGGCCCAATTTACCAGTTTCGCTGTTTTTGCAAGCTTATCAGACTATTAATGCTCCGCGTTACATATTAGACGCATTTTCGATGGTTTTTTTTGCCCTGATTCAAATGTGATATCAAGTTGTTACCCTAGCCTCATGTGTGATGGCTTTGAGAAAATAACTCACCTTCAAACCTCTATCCTCAACCATCTCACCATTTCCTTGCCCTCCGCCTATTTCTGAAATGAAAGCATATCATCATCGTATTAAAACCATCTCATCAGCCAATTAAGGTTTTACCTCATCGGCTCATCCTCGTGACAAACAGTGCGACCAATCTCCAAATCATCAATAGAAAAAACCAATCAAGGATATGTGCCACAAATCTCCAGCTTGGCTTCCTTTTTTTTTTTTAGAAAAGGGGTTTCCCCTCGTCCCATTTTATTTGAAAAACGAGTCAACAGAAGACAACTAAACTGTTTCCAGCGTTGGGGCCAAGCCAAAGTAACTGAAGACTAAACCTGGTTTTATATAGGGGTGGAGAGCCAGCTGCAATACAATAGCCATACAGGGTTTTTACAAAGACAACCAACCTAGGCATTACAAGATGATCGGCCTCAGCCAGAATAAGCTTTCAGGTAGAAGCCATGGTTTCTCCCTTGGTCTTCTCTTCTTCGATCCAACAGTTGTAGACATTCCTTCATCATTTTGTTGACCCGAGCACAGAACTATCCACTGGTTAAGAAGCATACTTATCTTTCCCAGATCAGTCCGAGTATCTTTCCACACTGCTCCCTGGAAACAAAGATCATGGCGAGCACTCCCGCCGTTATAAAATCCTTGTCTTAGACTTGTCTAAATACAGATGTATTTAACTACATTTTAGTGTTAGATACATTCATATCTAGACAAATTTAAGACAGAAATTTTGGGACGGAGGGAGTAGTCCATAAGCACCGAATGGTAGCAACTCCATCCATGCCAGCAATACTTGTGCTATGTTTTTCTGCTGGAAATTATCTTAAGAACTTTGTAGGATGGAAAATCTCTAGAGAATTTTGCAAACGAACGGAAGAAGCGGGCCAGCTACAACTACAGGCCCAATAACCCACACGATGTTGGTCCAAGTCCAACGACTCGCCAGCGCACGCATCAGCATCGAACCAAATCGCAGCTCGCAGCCCACCCAACAGAAAAAATCGCAGTCTCGTAGCTCGCCGCCGCCGGACTTCCCCGTCCCTGCCGGCGCCGCCAAGCTGCCGCCCGCGCCATGCTCCGCCTCCGAACCTCCATCCTCACCCATCTCGCCATCCCCTCGTCCTCCGCCTATCCCTGCTCCTCCCCCTGCCGCCTCCTCTCCGCCACCGCACCCCCCATTTCCCCAAACCCTAGCAGCTTCGCCGTCGAGGACTACCTCGTCGGCACCTGCGGCCTCACCCGGCCCCAAGCCCTCAAGGCCTCCGCCAAGCTCTCCCACCTCAAGTCCCCCTCCAAGCCCGACGCCGTCCTCGCCTTCCTCGCCGGCCTCGGCCTCTCCGGCGCCGATGCCGCCGCCGTCGTCGTCAAGGACCCGCGGTTACTCTGCGCCAAAGTGGACAAAACCCTGGCCCCCGTCGTCGCCGGGCTCACCGGCCTCGGTCTGTCGCGTTCCGAGATCGGCCGCCTCGTCTCGCTCGCCCCGGCCAACAGCCGGTGTAGATCCATAGTCTCCAAGCTGGACTACTACCTGCCCCTCTTCGGCTCCATCGACAACTTGCTCCGGCCGCTCAGGCGCAGCAACTGCCTCCTCCGCTGTAACCTCGACAAGGTGGTCAAGCCCAATGTCGCCTTCCTACAAGAGTGCGGGCTAGGTGCTTGTGATATTGTCAAGCTGTGCATCCCTGCAGAGAGGATTCTGACCACCAACCCAGAGCAGGTCCGGGCGATGGTGGCATGTGCCCAGAGACTAGGTATGCCCCCTGGCTCTGGGATGTTTAGATACGCGCTGCAGGCTGTCGCTTTCCTCACCCAGGAGAAGATCACCGCCAAAGTGGAGTACTTGAAAAATACATTCAGGTGGTCAGATGCGGAGGTGGCCCTTGCTGTGTCTAGAAATCCGAGTGTGCTAAGGAGGTCAAAGGAATCTCTGCAGCGCAAGTCTGATTTCCTCATCTCCGTGGTGGGGTTGGAACCGGCCTATATTTCTCGTATTTCAGTATTCATCACTTTCAGCCTGGAGTGCCGGCTCAGACCCCGGCACTACGTTGTAAATTTTCTTAAGGAAAATGGACTGCTAGATCGCGAGCGGAGCTACTATGCATTTTGCAGGATGACTGACAAGGCTTTCACGGACAAGTACATATGCCCTCACAAGGAAGCTGCACCGCACCTTGCCAAATACTATGCTGCCGCTTGTCGAGGGGAATTGCCTGCCCAGTAGATTGATATTTGCATGATACCATTGCTGGATAAGGCACACTAGTTTGATGCAGCGGCAGGTTTGCAAGAGAGCAGGTTGTAAATCATAACAAGAACAATCAGTGGTCAAGAGCTCCAGATGGCTCCAGTTATCTACCTGGAAGTTTCTCCTTTTTTTGGGTGAGATTTCTCCCTGCAAGAAATTGAAGAGATGCATTACCGAAAGGAGTTTGACAACTTCAGCATGTACACACAAAGGTGCTCCCCAAGAAATTGCCTGAATGTTCAGATTAAGAGAGGTGAACACCAAGGCCTTTTATTTGTAGTGGTAGGATGGCAGAGCAAGCATTTGTGTGTGTTCTGTTTCTACACTCTGACCGGTTCTAAATTCCCATCGTAAGAGGAATTTTAGCTGTCATGTTTATTGAAAATTTAGCTGTCTTCTTCATTGATGTCCCAATGAATGCTGTACAAACTGGTGCAACTGCTGCAGCTTGCAGTGCAATTTCTCAGGCCATTTCTGATCTGCCGGTAAGTAATATTTACTTGACTGTCTCTGAACAAACATATACACCATGTTACCATATATATCAGCATAACTTGACTCTGCGGTAGAAGCAAGTGATAATGACACTTTCTGCCTTTTTAGTATCTTCTGTTTTTTCTTCTGTAAGCATCACTTCTATGATAGCCGGAATGAGCAGTATAGTATTTGTGAAGTTGTATACTTGCATGGCACAAAAAGTTGATTGCTTAGTCAATGTTGAATATTGATAAATAGGTTCATTGTTCCTTCTATGGTCTTTAATTTGATGAACATTGATAAATTGGTTTATTCCTACTTTCGAGCATACCATGGATGGATGACCCAATCAGGGAGCACTGTCAGCAATATTTCGTTTGATATGTTAGCAAATTATGGGTTATTTTAACAAAAAGAAAATTATTGGTTCATTGAGTAACCATAGAAAAACAAAGTTTATTCACAAGATGGAAAAATTAGTTAACACAAACACCATTAGCTGTTCATGGATTTCCTTCTGTTTACTTCTTATCACTTTCATGTTCTTAACTTCTCATAATCTGTAACCCTAAGATGCATCTTTGACCATCTCACGGTGTATTTGTTAGTGCAGGTAAGGCTCATAAACATTGCCCCCAATGTGTACTTGACTCTATCAGTAGCATACATCGTGTAGTTACAACAAGATAGCAAGGTCAACATTACTGCTACATAGGAGTTAGGTCTATACATGTTTAGGATTAGTGCTGTTCTTGTTTGGATTAGAGCTGTTCTTAATGCCCAAGAGAAGAGAATGTGTTATCTCTTGGAAGAAGAAAAAAGACAGTTAAGCCTTGCCCCCCTAAAAAACAAAAAAGAAGAATAATGATTCAAGGATTGTAGAGTTTGTCATGCAATTTTTTTTTGTGATGCATTTGTTTGATCAACCGACTTTTGATCTTTAAAGCTGCAAATTATCCAGCGGTTTCAGGATTCAGAGGACCAAAATTGGAACTGAAACCTTGAGATTGTTGACAAGCTAGTTGACTGCTGACAGGGATGGTCAGTGAATCAAGAGAAGATCAAGTTGGTCGATTAAGTCTTGGAGAAGATGCAATCGGATGCTTGGTTGGCTCAATTCAAGCCAGCCGGTGGGCCGACCTGCAGATGCTTGGTTGGCTCAATTCAGGCCAGCCGTCCAGCCGGCGCAGCACCAAACGGCGACTGACAGAGATTTCAATGGTCAGAGATGTGCTGGTCATCAGGCACAGCTTGAAAGGAGCTTGGCATATCTTGGCATAACCTTAAGAGCAGCTTGTGGATAATTAAAAAGAAGCAAATTTTGGGTTCGTTGAGTTACCATAGAAAACCCAAATTTGTTCACAAGATGGAAAATTGAGGTGATGCAAACACTATTAGCTGTCACAGACTTACTTCTGTTTACTTCTTATCAATGTCATAATCTTAACTTATCATATTCCCTAAGTCCTAAGATGTGTCTCTGACCATTTCACAATATATTTTTAAATCCTTAACTTATAACCTCCAGATATAATTGTTCATGATGGATCTACTCATACATTTCACATAGTACTCTGAATATTTCGAAATAAAATATTGGTCAAAGATCAAATATTTGAGCACGCACTTCACAGAGATTGAAATCTTTTTTATTGGATGGGTTAGCTTTCTTAACCTAGTAACTTCTAAATTTCGAATAGATAGTAAATTAGATATGGAAAATCACTTCCCTTTATTTAATGTCTTACTATGTAGAAGGTTGACACTGCGGCATCTGATTCTACTATTCATTTTTACATCTTCAAATATTCTCAACAGTGCATTTGGTTTAGGCCGTTGAGTGACCAACACATAGCATGCGTTTTTCCTTCAACTTACTCTCAGCTTTTTTATTAAAAATAATGAACATTCTAGTCTTCCTCTCCCCTGTTACTTTCTTATGTTCTGGGTCCAATCTGTCTAAAATTAATATTTAACTTTTGTTTGCCATCTGTCTATCTCGGGCTTTAACCTATATAGGATATAGTATGATAACAATCATGCCATCTAGCTGATGCACTTCTTACCAGATACACTCATTTATTTTGGAATTATGCCTGGAGTTCTGCTTCTACATGACTTTGAAATGTGAGAACCACCAGTTTCACATGCAGCCTTTGATGCTCATTGACTTTGCTAGTACCTTTACTACTTATCTAGTACTATTAGTTGTCACAGACTTGCTTCTCCAAGGAGCGTGGCATATCTTGGCATAACCTGATGAGCAAATTATCGGTTATTTAGAAAGAAGCAAATCATGGGTTCTTTGATGCAAACATTCTTAGCTGTCACTGACTTCCTTCTATTTACATCTTATCACTGTCATCTTAATTTTTCATATTGCCTAAGTCCTAAGATGTGTCGTTGACCACATCATAATATATTTTCAAATCCGTAGAACTATACCCTCCAGATTTATTTGTTCATGATGGATTTACTCGTACATTTCACACAGCAGTTTGAATATTTAAAAAATACAGTACTGGTGAAAGATCCAACATTCAAGCAGGCACTCCGCAGAGAGTTAAATCTTTTGTATTGGATGGATTAGCTTTCTTAACATAGTAACTTGTAAATTTCAAATAGATAGTAAATTTGATATGGGAACCACCAGTTTCGCTTGCAGCCTTTGATGCTCATTAATTTGCTAGTACTTTTACTGCAAATTCTAATAGAATTTCCATGTGTTGTAGCTTGGTCGCACTAACATCTGAGCCTGTTCATTTTGAGTAGTGATGTAGTTTGTGTGGTAGTGATTTGCTTAAGAATTCTGCGGCAAAATATTTATGATAGTGATAATGATATGCCAGGTTTGTACATGTTTTTAGATAATTATTCATTCCATGGTGGTAATCAACTATGCATAGGCCATTATATACTCACTGCATCCAGCTTTTCCACTAGATGGACATGGTTGAGATCATCTTATACATGGCCAAATATCGAGCTATAAAGCTCTCATGCCATCTGCTCTAAATTTTAGGCCCACCCCATCACTTTCACTGCAGGAACATGTGGTGTTAAATTTAGTTGCCTACTAAAGTTTCAAGAAAATAATTAGCCACTAATGACTCGACTTGTTGAACTAGTTTTTCTTTATTTAAAATTAAGTCCTAATGAAAATTACGACAGTCAAGCATCACTGTTTCATGTGTCAATATTAGCTAGATATTAAAATAAGATTAGGGGGACTCTTATGGCTAGACTGATTAACCACGTGCCAAATTATAATTAACTGTGTGCTGTTTTAGTGGAGAAAATTGTGTGCTGCCTGGTAATTGAGTCTTTCTGTGGAGAAAAATCATCAATCAAGTAGGAGTACTATTCTCCTCCATGGAAGTGCTACATTGCGGGATCAGTTGAAACTCCCAATATGAAAAATAACATGACAACTAAAAAAAATAGGATGTTGATCATACAATTAAGTATGTTTGGGAGAACACCAAAAAGATTTTAATTCACGTATAGGTGAAGATGGCTTGAGAAAACAAAAAATTCATGATTTGACGTCATGGTAAAACCATCTAGTCAACCAATGAAGGTTAGGTGCCACAGTTTTCCACATATGTTTCTGATGTTTTCTTGCTGGAAATTCTACGAAGTATTTTCTAGAATAGAAAATATCTGGAGAATTTTCCAGATTCCAGAATACTGTAAGATATGTTTGCAAAATAATTAAACCAAATAAGAACTACATATTCTTATTATTTGGAAATGCAAAACAATTAAATAAATGGAAGAAGCAGAGGAAAACATAGGATTTTGAGCTGCAAGAAAAAGGAAAACCTAGGATTTTTTTTGGAACAAGGAAAAAAGAGCGCCAGAATGCGCTGGCGAAACGAGAGAGGCAGAGACGGTTGTGGGCCTGGATAACGACGGCTTCCGCAAATCAACTCATGTATTATTATTGGCGAGGCAGGGTACAACTACAATCCCAGTAACCTACACGCTCGAGGCCCGGTACAACGTGCCAGAGTGATTAATTAGTAGTAGTAGTCCAACGAATCGACGTCAATCTAATTTACAACTCGACTGAGTTAGGCTTTCTGTTGCCCCTACCGAAGAACCAACATGTAGAAAGGTGCATGCGGTTGCCATCCCGAGACCTACCATTCCCAAATAATTATACATGCTAGACATTTCCAGAAGAGAGAACCAGAAACCAGAATGACTGAATTGTACAACCCAATAATAATATGCTATACATATGTGCACCCAACGCCAACCTCTCCTTTTAGCGCATACTCCCTCTAGCCGAAAAAAGTTGTCCCAAACTTGTCTATCAAATGGAGGGGCATTTGCTTTGGCTCGTGTATATATGTTATTTTGTAGCCACTGAATCAACCCCTTCCACTTTCTGGACATGGTTTGGATCCATCTAACCACGGTCAGGTACAGAGCTATAAAGTTCTCGTGTATTGCCCACACTAAATGCTAGACCTACCTCGCAGTTTGATTGA